CTTTGTGCACTAGTACCAGCACCTCCTATAGGTGGGCTTTGCTTACAGGGCCTTCCAGCTGGTTGCCCAAATCCAATTCTCTCATTCATTCCATTCCATTTTTACATAGCCTCTCCCTTTTCTCTAACAAAAGGTTCTATGCTCTGGCCAAACCCCCATGCTTTCCAGGTTCTGCCAATTAAACAGATCCTTTCTCCAGCTAGGAAAGACCAGAAGGAGCAAAATCCAACTATGATTGGGAAAAAACGGTCTTCTTATTCACACACACAGACATACACTCATTTCCTTTGTTCCCCTGGGCTTTAAACTTAAAATTTAGAGGTACTCACCTTCATCTTCTTTCCAAAGCAGCCCTTGAGCTCAAACCCAAAACTCCCTTTACTACCCTAGCTCCACATGGGCAAGGACTGGGAAACCCATCTACAGACACTAGGGGTCTGCTGCCGGCAAGATGGGGCTGCTCAATCCATTGGAGAGGTTAGCTTGGAGTCCCATCTCTGGAGTGCCAAATTGTTGGAAGTAAAGTCTTCATCCTGGTTCATCCAAGCCGGGAATAAATAAGCAACATGGCGACTGCTTTGGGAAGATGGTTACAGTTTATTGAAGATGGTTCTTGCAGGAAAGACCACAGGAAAGAAGGACCTGAGCACATGGGCAGTAGGTCTTTATACTCTCTCTAGCCTTTTGTTTGGAATAATTTCCTGTTCCTGTGGCATGAACTTTGAACTGAGTCTGACTGCTTCTCTAGGCCTTGGTATCTGTGGTTTAACTCTATTATGTCCCAAAAGTCATATCCTGCTTCCCTGGGGCTGGGTTAATGATTCTTAGAGTTTGGGTAAGGTATGCAGATTTTAAGTCTCTTTGTCTTCTTGAGTTTTCTGGCTCTAACTTTCTGATGGTTTTACATTTGCATTTGTATAGGGCTGGCTCCTGTTTGGGATAGAGAGATTTGGTGGCAGACTTGGCTTCTGCTTTTAAAAATCCTTTTGAGGAAAAATATATTTTTCTGCCCTTTTAATATTTCCTTCTCTGGGGCTCTGATTTTCCACAGCATTGTCCTTCCTCTTGCCAATGAACTACTGAAGCTGTACAATACTTTCAGGAACTGCTGAAAACAGTTAAATATTAAAAATGTGCAGCTTCAGTAATTCCTGCAACATTGCTCAAGAGGCTCAAGTAAGGAGAATATTTTAGTAATAGGCAGCCTGTTCGTTATTTAGAGGTTGTTCTTGAGTAAGAACTTCTTAATCCCTGGGACTGCCTGTATATTGAGAATAAAGAGAATAAAGTCAAACAGGTCAGTCTAAGAATCAGAGCTAGGTTTGTATACACTATTTACCAATAATTAATTCAACCTTGGTTTTATACAACTCAATTTTTTAGACTGATATGGCACACTTAGCCAGAAACAACCCAACCAAGGGCTGGCAGAATAGGCTAAATAAAAGTAGGCTAGTTTGTCACATATACAATAGTGTAAGCAAATAGCCTTGGGAGACAGGAGGAAAATTCACAGACTAGATAACTGTCATGCAAAAGATACTCAACCATAGAAGCAAAAAGGGTGTGAGAAACATCTCAGAAAGGACCCTTATTTTCTGGAAAGCAAAAGTAAAGCAGTGAAATGTCTGTGGAAATTCTCAAGTCATCCAGGTCATGCTTGTCCCAAAGGTGCTTTTTCAGGAGGCAATTGGATTTTCTTGTTTTTCTTTGAAGATGTTTTGCTTCTCATCCAAGAAGCTTTTTCAGCCCTGACTGGATGGTAGGAAATGAAAAGATTTAAATTCCTTACAGATGGTTCAAAGAGGCCATCTATGTCAAAACTGAACAGCCCTCCCTCACCTGAGGGGGAGGGATATGACATCATCTATCTCCAGTCTACAACACTGTCCTTTCAGCAGTTCCAAGAAGGCTCCACAAACATTTGTACTAATCAGGTGACCCTGAGGACAAGGATAAACCTCCAAATGGCCTCAATAACTCAAAAAGAATGCAAATGACCAGCTGTCTGCAAGGAATATAAATCCTTCCCTTCCCCACCATCCAGTCAGAACTGAAGAAGCTTCTTGGATGAGAAGCGAAATGTCTTCAAAGAAAAACAAGAAAGTCCAGTTGCCTCTTGAAAAAACACCTTGAAATGTTTTCAGACTTGCAAGATTGATGTCAGCCCTTCAAGCAACTCCAGACAAGCAACACAAACTCTGAGTACCAATTAATTATTATCAATTAATTATAGGCCCAAGCCTCTATTCTCTTAAGCAGTACAGTATCTTCTCTTTCTTTTTCCCATTTACCTGCTCTTGGATAGGAAAATAGAAGTAGTGCCAAATACAGGAAGACTTGAATTTGACCTTCCCTGCTTTGCCAATTCTACCATAATTGGGAGGCCTCTTCCTGTTGAATTTGCAAGTAGAGCCCTCCATCTCTATTCCAAAAACATCCTGGACTCATTGGGAGGAAGTTGCTTAAGACTCATGACATGCTCAGAAAATTGGCAGAATGATGATAGAAAAGGGAAGAACTCATCATGTCTCTTCCCATCATTTTCCACTCTGACTTAACCATTTTACTAACCTCAAGATGAAAGAAATTTATGGTTCATACAGCTTTGATGTCTGTACTAAAGTTGTCTCTTGATAGTACTAATAAAGCCTTAAAGATACCTTAAAAATCTGTAAGATGACAAAGGCAGTAGAAGAGGCAAGAGTCAAATGAGTACATAAAATAGAATAGAATAAAATCTTAATTATCACTTTAAATGTACATTAATCAGCATACATTAAAATGAAACTTTGTTGCATTCAGCTCTCAATAAAATACCATTATGCATATACCCATATCTATATATACACATATATGACACAAAGAAACATCACAGTATAATTTGAATGTATATATGTACATGGCTAAAAAAAATTCTGCAAATTTACTAGACAGATGGCATAAGGAATAAATCTGTTACAGAATTTAGTAGTTCTGCTAGAAATACTTCGAAACTTCCTCCCAGAGGGGAGCAACAGAATCAGACTGTGAAGTGGGTGCGTGGTGTTTCTAACAATGATTCGACCTCTAAGCTCATAGCACTTGTAAACAGTGTCCCAAATAATGGGAAGTGAGCTTCCTATAATCTTCTCAGCTGTCCTTACCACTTTCTGTATGGACCTTCTATCTGAGGCACTGCTACCACCAAACCAAACAATGATGCAGTTTGTTAACACTTTCAATCATGCCTCTTTAAAAAGTGGCCAGGGCAGAAGGAGAAAAATGTGCTCTCCTCATCTGATGCAAAAAAATGCAAAGGCTGGTTTGCATGCTTCACTGAAGATAACATATAAAGAGACCAAGTCAGATTGTTAGTTATCTGTATTCCCCAGATACTTAATACTATTGGCCACCTCCACAGCTGCAGGCTTGATACAAAGTGGAGTTTAATTATGCAGGCTCTTTCTAAAATCAACAATGATCTCCTTTGTTTTATTAACATTCAAAACCAGGTTATTTTTATTGCATCAGTCCACCAAAGCCTTCAGCTCCTCCCTATAAGAATCTTTGTTAACATCCCAGATAAGACTCACCGCTGCCATGTCATCCGCATATTTCACATATGAATATGTAGTAGACTTAGCACAGCAGTCATGGGTCATCAAGGTGAACAGTAATGGACTCAAAACATAGTCCTATAGGGCAGGGCTTTTCAATCTTTTCACCCATTGTACCACTTTTAGGATATGGCAATATTCGAGTACCACCAGTCGCCTAGCAAGGTGTCAAAACTTGATGACCCAAAAAAAAAGGAAAAAAAAAGTGATGAAGTACAGGTAGTCCTTGACTTACAACAGTTCACTTAGTGACTGTTCAAAATTACAATGGAACTGAAAAAAGTGCCCCCAAAGCCACAGCCGAGCAAGACACCTGCCTGCCCACCTGGGAGTGCTCTTCCTCCTGTCCCAGGTTTTCATTGTTGTGAGCATTTTTGTTGAGGATTGGCAGCAGGGGTGGGGGGGGTGTTTGGTTTTTATTCCTCCGTCTGCTGGGTGGTTGCAGCAGGTTTTGGTCACTTCACATGACCCTGGGATACTGTGACTGTCATAAATATGAATCAGTTGCCAAGCATCTGAATGTAAATCACAAGACCCTGGAGATGCTGCAACATTCCAGCTGATCGGAGCTTCTTCTGGGCTCAGCAGAAGCGCCAGGATCAGTGCTGAGCTCCAGCTGGATCCTGGTGCTGATCCTGATGCTTCCATTGAGCCCTGACAGTCTCGAAGCGCTAATCCTGGCGCTTCTGCTAAGCTCTGACAGCCCTGCAGCTCCAGCTATCTCTCGCTCAGGCTTCTGCGGTGCTGCCACCGGTTCAGCTCATTCCCCTCCCCCACTACCATTTTTCTGGGATGGTCGCGTACCACTTACCAGGTGCCAATGTACCATGGGTGGTACCCGTACCACTGGTTGAAAAGCCCTGCTATAGGGAACTGTGTTCCAAAAGATGGAATTGGAAACTTTTCTTCCAACTCGCACAAACTAGGGCCTATCAATAAGAAAGTCAAGTATCTAGTTACGGCAAGAAGTATTAAAAGCAAATTAAAATCAGCAAACACCATTTGCACGTGAATATTTTTCTCTTCCAGGTGCGCCAAACTAAGATAAGCACACAAGAATCTATAGAATGGTTCTTCTGATAAGCAAACTGTAACAACTCAAATATAGGAGGAAGACATACAGTACATGTTCTATATTGTTCTGGTTTTAAACTATCTTTGATTAATGCCTTTCATTGGATGACCATCAATTAGCTATAAATCAGATTTAAGCAGTAAAATATTTTTATAAATGTTTAATTGTTTGGGATTTGGCTTAACGTTCATCTTAGTAGCTATTGTACTTTATATAAAAACCAGTTTATGGCTGTTGCACATGAACTGGCCCACTATCCTTCAATAAATCTTGACTGAGTAACCTACAATTTAATGAGATGTCTGAGTATTTGTTTTTCTTTCCAGTGTCTTGTAGAATTAACTGATGGACAACCAGCACATAAATATTTGCCATTGTTTATCTTACCAACTGGAAGGGGAGTAACGAATAAGAGAGTTGGAAGGGACCTTAGAGGTATTGGTAGTCCAACCCTTTGTTCAAGCAGGAGACCCTATACTACTCCAGACAAATGGCTATCCAACCCCAGTGATGAAGCACCCACAACTTCTAGAGGTAAGCCATTCCACTGATTAATAGTTCTCTCTGTCAGGAAATTTCTCTTTAGTTCTAGATTGGATTTCTCTTTGATAAATTTCCATCCATTACTTATTGTCCTGCCCTCAGTTGCTTTGGAGAATTCTTCATCCCATTCTCTCAGTGACAGCCTGTTAAATATTGGAAGATTGCTATGCTGTCACGCCTAGTCATTGTTTTCGTTAGACTAAACCAGGGGTAGCCAACCTTGGCTCTTTTATAACTCATGGACTTCAACTAAGTCCACGAGTCATAAAAGAGCCAAGGTTGCCTACCCCTGGACTAGACATATTCAATTCCTGCCAACCATTCATTGTGTGTTTTATCCTCAATTTCATAATCATCTTTGTTTCTTACACAAACATAAACACAGGAATCATTCCAGCCAAATGCCCAAGAGGTAAGTGCAACATTTAAATAAGATTGTTGATAGACACCTGCTCAATGTATGTTGCTATCTTCTTAGTCCCAGAATATTGGGCTTCACCAACCATGCCCTGATTAAGAAATGAAAAGCGAAACCTTTCTCAAATACAAGTTGGTTCTGAATATTAAAATCTGCTGTTCAGTTGCTGAAACTAGAGCAAGACTGGCGGGAAGAAAAATAGGGATTATAATCTCATTCCTTCGCTCCAATAGACTCATCAAATGTTGCATTCTTCAGCCTCTGTTCGCCTAATTCGCCTACACCAACTTCTTATAAACTAATAGGCTAGCGCTGGAGGCAAAGTTGGGCGAGGCGAAGCTAAAAGAGGGCCGGCTTTGCGAGACGAAGCAACCGCAGAGCTGATCAAAGCGCTCGAGGCGAGACTGGTGGAACTTTGGCGCCACCTCCTACCCGATTTCCCGAGCGCAGCGGGGAACTGACCGGCCTCCTGGGGGGAAAAGGCGTTGTGATGCTACCTCCTCCTTCAGTCTGCCACTGTCGCCACTGTATTCCGAGTCAGAGAAGTCAGGACGGAGAGGACCATGCCTGCTGCTGCGCCACCTCCCTTGCATCACGCAGCGGGGCCGGGGGGTTCCTGTAACTGCCCCTACCCCCGTCATCCCGGTGAGTGGGCCCTCGCGGCGGAAAAAAACTTTGCGCTCCTTTGGGAGGCTTTGCTCTCTTGACCCACACTTCTCCCGCCAAGATAACGGGGGCTATCTCCCTTACTTTTCCCTTGTACAGCCCCCAGCCTCGAATCTTGCGTGGCATTTCCCCGCGTTCCTTTCTAATTGTTCCTGCCTTATCTGGGCTGTTTATAACATTCAGTCCCAGATATCGGAAAACGTGCCCAGAAAAAAACGTACCTGGGTGCATCGCCGCCCGCCTACTTCCTTTCTTTGCAACCCCCTTCTTTGTCTGAGTTGTCTTTTCACCCAGGTCTGGTATTCTGTATTATTTTGGACGGCTCCTCTCTAGGGATGGAGGGGTGGGTGGGGGGAGGGCATAGCAGAAGAGAGGCTTACTGCCGCATTTGACCCCCTTGACTTGGCGGTGGGCATCTGGAGAGGCAAGGAACTACCGCGAAGATTTCTGGTGAGGTGGAGACTTTGGGAGGTTTATTGCTGGAAAAACAAAGATAACAGATGTTGACGGATTTTATCTATAACAACTTTCATGATATACTTCTACAAAACAACAACAACAACAACAAAAACGCGCTCAAGCTGTTTTCTCATTCTTAATGGGAATGCAGAGAAAATAGTCAACATCGTAGGGACAGCTGGATTAATGTATTTCAGATGTTTAAAAGTGGTACTGGAGGATGAATCCTGTTTAATTATTCCAGTATTGGCTGCTACCTGTTTGCTTTTAGCTGTATTTTACCAATCTTCTGTTCTCGAAAAAGGATTAGATCTATTTTTTTCTGGTGTCTGGGACTGACTGCATGCAGGGATTGTCCAGAATCAACCTGTGTTGGCAAATAGATTACCCTTTCCAAATCTGTTGTCCTTTAGATGTCTAAGGAAACAGCTCCCATCCCTTCCTGTTAACGTATTGTCTGGGAATGAAGGATGTTGTAATCAAATACATTTGGAGGATATGAGATTAGGAAAGGTTTAGGTAATAAACTTAAATTTCAGGATGGGCTATTGCCTATTTCTGATGGATTGCATATTGCAAGTTGTAAAAAACAATCCCCAAACTACATAAATATTTGTTCCACCAGGGCAACTGATTTAGTATATATGTTGCCATATATACTTAGGGTATATCCACTATAATTCAGTATTACCAATATTGGATTGTTGCTTTGTAAAATATAAAAATGGGAGTTTTTTCTGTTAAGATAGAAAAAAATCTAATTCTTTTAAGTCTTCCACAGACTTAAGTCTATGTCTGTTGGAGAAATGTCATTGGGCAATGAAACTGGCAGCCATTCCATGCCTGTGTCTTCTTCATGTAGGCTCTACATAAAGATCTTGACATATAGGAACCTGCTTTACTTAAACTGTATATATTATACTATTTCTCCAAACTTGCTACTATACAATGGAAATCATAATAAGTTAAATGAAAATTATAACTAAACTCAAGTTCATGGGCATCAGATAAAAATATAGTATGTTATAAAGCAAATAAGAAAGTTTGAAGTTTGTTTGTTTATTCTTTTGCATAGAACAAATTACCTGCAATTAGTTATTATGGAGATGCTATATATTTGTTATTTCTTCAGGCTTAAATTGTTTGATTTTATTCTACTTTATATGGTTTATTTTAAACTGCACTTACATTTTTAGCTTTTAGAAAACTTCAGATGAAGGGTTTCATAGAAAGGTTTTTCTTTTCCATCTAAAAAGCTATAGATTGTTTTGCTTGATCTTAGCTATAGCTGTCTCCTAAAGCAATAGTCCAATCAAAATTCCAAGGGTTCTCTTCTAGCTTTCTAGATGTTTCTAGTTTTTTTTAATAAGACTAAAACTGATTTCATTAGAGACCAAAGTATAATTTTCTGTTAGAGATGTTGGCTCAAACTGGTCTTCACGAAAGACTTACGGATTTTTTAACTTTGCAAGATAACCTTGCCCCTTCATAGCTAATTTAAATTTTTTGTGGATTTTCCACCCAGTATTTCATTTCAGTTAGCTATAAGAAAACTCTGTTGAAAAGAAACAGCAGATTTTTTATTTGACCTAAAAGCACCTTAAAATATTCCAAAATCTACAGTTTGGCATGTTTAGGAAACCCTTAGCAATAGCCAGATAAATCACTAGTATTCTGCTTCTAAAACAAAGAATACCTTAACTATATTCAAGTTTATCTGTGCCCATATTTTTGGAAGAAATTAAATTGATAGCACATGCTCTTCTTTGCTACCTTTTTATTCAGATTGATATAAAGATATAATTGCATCTCTTTTGACTCTCAGACATAATAAAATAGATACTGTTCTGTTAGCAGACTCTTACAGTACATATGATTTCTAGGAGAATAGCTAAATTCTGCTTGATACCATCATTGTTTATTGCAACTTTATATAATCTCTATTGTTTAGATTAGAATGTTATGGATTCTTATGGCAGAATTTTAAACCTGTGACTTAATAGCTTTACATTTTTAATAATGGTTACATATAGTAATAAATGTACAGATAGGAAATAGCTTACAATTGTAATAGCTAATTAATTTTTTTTACTATTTCTGTATTTTAGTAATGGTAATATGTTTTATATTTTTTAGAGTTCTTTTAAGATTTTTTTAAAAAAATGTTGGTGTACTTCATTCTAATTTTATTAAAATTTGGTCAGCCCTTGCTATCAGAGGCTTCCAAAAAACAGATATCAACTTCACTCAGTTTTAAGTCTTTCTATTCTATTATATTTATAGTAGAATCAAATCTAGGCTGTAGTTGTAAGAGTAACCACTAATTATCCCAGTTGCCTATAGATAATATGTTAAATTTAGATTTCCTATTTCATTCATTTTGCATTTCACAAATGGAAAAACCCCAAAAATATGGAATTGTATAATAGTTAGTTAATTTTTTTACTGTTTTTAATGATTTAATAGATTTTGTTATAAAAAAGATCTTAAAACAAATTAAATCATTTTAAATCATTTTTCAAACGATCAAACGCTTTCTAAAACCAGAACTATTTCCTAGTTCTTACATCTCTCTTAGTACTGAAAAAGCTGTCCAATTTAACTCTTATTTCATTATATATTATATATATATCTAAGTAATTTAGATGCACGCACAAAATCTGTGTATCCTTCAAAATTTGGGCAGTCTAATGCCAAACTATGTGTTTGAAGTGATTATTATTATTCAGAAGTAGGACTCATGAAAGTTTGGTACAAATTAGTAATGCTAAGTCATTTCTATAATTGAATTCACTTTTATTTCCTTCAGATTATAATGTCAAAGGATGTGTTAACTGTTGTATTTTTCTGAATTAACTGTCAGCTATTGTATTTTGCATTCGAAGGGTATTTTTTTAAATCATTTTCTTCAAAATAAATTTTGCCAGTATATCTGATCCATTTGCAAATATGGTTTGAAATTTAGTTGCAAGCCATTATTTGGATTTTGATACAAGCATAGTTACGGAGTACAGTTTTGAAGTATAAAAGTAGTCCTTGACTTACATCCACAACTGGGACTAGAAATCCAATTGTAAGTTGTTGCATTGTAAGCCAAAGCACCCATATGACCAAGTCCATTTTTCCGACAATTTATACAATGATTTTTAAGCACATCACCATGTTTGCTAAGAAAATCAGTCATTAAACAAACATGAAGGATGTTAAGCAAACCTCTTCTTCCAAATAGGATATTTTTTGCCAGAAAGCAGCAAAAACAAACAAACAAACAAACAAAAAAACATAACAAATTGTGATCATGTGACCATGGAATGGTGCAAACAGTCATAAATGTTAGCCTTTTGCCAAGTGCCCAAAGTGTGGTCATGTAAGTGTGAGAGAGGAGGCTCAATATTATATAATGTCTGGAAGTGCCTTTATAAAGTGTTAAGCACCATTCCAAGGCTCTTATAAAAGAAAAAAAAAGAGCTGATCAGCTGATTTACTATGTCTACCTATTCAGTTAAAAATGATAAATATTGCGTCAGTTGTACTCATATGTGAGACTGCAGAATGTTTTTTTTTTACTTGCTTCTAATATTCTCTTGTTGTGTTTGTTTTCTTCCCTTTGCTTTTGTTTTATCCTGCTCTTTATGTGACTGCATTATGATTCAAGAGTCAAGTGGCATTAGTGGGCTTAATACATTTATTATGGCAAAGGATTTCTATGGGCTAGAATTTGTTAATCTACAACAGGGGTGTCAAACTGCTGGCCCGTGGGCAAAAAGAATCATGATACATCGTGACATGTCATGTGATGTGGCGAATTTGACACCTGTGATCTACAACGTTATCACAATTCCATTTCAAATACCTATCTAATTTTCCCTTTATCCAAACTGAAGCTGGGTTTAAGTCCAGGATTCCTTAGAACAAATTTTTTAATTCTTCTGCTTTGAGAAGTAGGTCTTTAATTTCTATGACTCTCAAAATGATACTAACAAAGTTCCTCTGCTTGAATAGGAATTAATAGGATCTGAAAGAAAGATATCTGAAAGACAGAGTTGGAGGCTGTTACAAATTCTTAAAGACGCTCTTTCTTGAATGTTCAGCTTTTGTTTTCGTATATCCCATGCCATATTTCTTTCGAAAATATAAAGGCAAATAATTTTTATCCTGTGATTCAGTAGTGAAAGTCCAGTCTGTGACTGGATTCATAGCATGCTAAACTCTAAATTTGGTTTGATCAAATACATTTGCTATGCCTAAACAGATTAAGGCTTTCTACCGTAGCTTAGTTTATTTAATAAGATTCTCACAACAAATTGAATCACTAACTATCAAATTTCCTTTTAATCCAAATGTTCTTTGTGAACTCAGCCATGATCATAAAGATTCACATACTTAATAACCATCTTTCTTGTTTAAACGTCAATGAATATTAAAAGTACTTTTAATTTTATTATTTTGTTGACAGAATATTTGTATGTATGTGTGTGCATGTATGTGCATGGAAATATAATGTTACTAAGGCATATTTG